TTCAATGACCATTTTGTTTCCAATTGCATAACTAGCAAATAGAATCAATGACCAGAACAAATACAGACTTGAGAAAGGCATTTTCCAGAGGATAATTGCTCCCCGACCCCAAATTTAGATCCCTTTCCTTCTTGAAGTCAACTATAATGAGTAGGATGCCCAATTTCAGGTTGTCATAATGCCTAATTGTTCTGAGCCATATTTTAGATAATGCTTTAAGCCAAATAGTTTAAGCCATGCATTACGTAATGCCTAATATTCCTTGGACCTTAGGGCCGGTACATACGGTAAGACTTGCCTTATAAGTCTAAAACCTTACGGTTTTGCAGGACGTACGGCTTTTATGTCCACACGCTAAGGCAAGACTTACAATATAATAAACAACATTTACATAAATGGCATGCGTTTTTAACTATAAACAGTGCGCATTATTAAACAGAATAATAGATTACTAGCTAGGACTTTGAAATAGTTTTACCGACCAGTGCATCCACACTTCTTAACAAGGAGGAGGAGGTTAAGTGAAGTTTTTGTAGATATTTTCATTATCTTACTCGAATATACTCTGTGTTTTCTTCAATATACCAACGTGCATGGTTTTATAGAAATAGATTGAACTTTGGGTAAATGGTTTTCATTGGTCAAGAATTAAAAGTCAGCTAAGTCTTGTATTAGGAAATAGAGCAGTGCTCTATTCTAAAGTCAGACTTGCAAGGCTCCAAAAAACGTGTATTAAGGGTGTACACACGGTAAGGCTAGAACTTAAGTTTCATGACTTGTAAGGCAAGCTTTACCGTGTGTACCGGCCTTAAAAGACTCACGAAGTTCTATTCCTACAATCAAACAAAACGTTGCAACTGTTTACATTACATAACCGAATATCTATAAAAGAATAATTGAATATAATCTCACAAATAGAAATTTAATGGAAATGTGCAATGGGTCTGAAACATTCTTCTTATGTTACATATGAAAAAATTAAGCTGCTGTATTATTTGCACCTAACATTACAAGAGCATATCAAAACAATCTATTGGGTTATTTTGACCGTAGTTTTAAACAAATTTCAGGCAACTGCAAGTCCTTATTTTGAGAGATATCAATGTGAAATTTTATGACTTGAATGTAGATCTGCGGCTATTTTGAGAGATTATTTTATTGCAACCTAATTTGTAAGATTTACTGGTTGTTATATTTAATTTCATTTTGTTTGCCGCTTGATTTCTGGTACTTAGTTTTTTCCAGTTAGCCCCCCTCTTCTCTTTTAAAATTCTTTTTCAAAGTTATTTTTTTTTTTTAATTTCTCCCTCTTATCTCGAAAGTTAACATTTCTTTAACAAATAGTTATAGAAGCAACATCAAAAGCTATGCTGGCAGACATTGCTTATAATTTGGTGTCAATCTACAGTGGAAAAAACAATTCAAGTATACAAGTATACACACTCACCTAATTAATGCAATACAAAGACGATTGATGTACCTGATATACTGGACTGTTAATCTGTGATTATACTTATTTCAATGTTTGGTTTTCCAAACGATTTGAAGATAATTTTCAATGCCTTTCTTTGACTTGTAGTCTTGTATTTGGGTCCATGTCCACGAGAAGCTCCCACCGAGTTTCCTTATTGTTGTTCACATGCATAGGGCCTATTCTAGTTTGCTTTTGCCGGGTTTCGAAGCAGTATGAAACAAAATGAGAGTTATTAATGTTAATAACCAACATTAAATCATTGTAAAACAATACAAAGGTATAAGTAAACGATTTTTTAGTATAACCGCGTGCGCGTCGTCTGCTTTGTCAAGTGTTTGAATCCAATCTTATCCGTCATAATTAATGCACATCAATAGTAATAACAGCGTTAAAATGGTTGAGAACAATGCATAAATGAAAAATGATACAAATTTTAAAGTTACAAAACAAAATTTCATGTATTTTATTGCAAGCAATTGTTATGCGTCTTTACCTTCGACAGGTTCAGGAGAAAGGAATGTGAAGATCAAACCCGACCTTTTATATACTACACTTGATGTGTCAACCAAACCCGACCATTAAAAGCTAACGTTCAAATAACAAATACTTGAGACCTATAAACTAGTTTATAGGTCCCTTCAAATATACTTTTCTCGTAAAATAAAGGCATCTATTTTGTATACACAAATAGATGCTATTATTTACTTCAGGCGAGAATAAAATCAGATATGTCCTGGGGTATCTGTCATGGAGAACATTGTTAGGCCTTCACCACAATATTACTCTTTCAATGCAAGTGCCCTATCACGGACGTTGTCTAGTGGATACTGGGTTTGCAAACATTAAGCGTCTCTATCACAGAACTGATGTTGACAGTCTATCTGGATGTCGTCAACAAGAGTGCCAAATCAAATACTGCAGTTACATATTTGATCGAGGCGGGAAAACACTGCTGGGAATGGTTTGATTGGAAAACGTTTGTTTCCCAATACTTTCTTCCAGTAAGAGACACATGGAAATTCCATCATTTCAGATTTTCTTTATTATCTCCTGGTAGGATTTTTAGAAAAAAATTCGGTGAATTTTTTTAATATGCTTATATTGTTTTTAATGGGTAAATATAAATTATATAATTATATATATATTAAATAATATGTAAAAAAAAAAAAAAGAAAAAAAAACGACAATACAAGTTGTAAAACGCTAGCACTTTCATTTCAAATTCTTCAGACGTTTTACTTTAAATAATATTTTCACAGAAAAAGTATACGTCAAAGAAACAGTTGACAATGCAGAAACGGAAATTGAGTTGCTGAAGTCTTCTGTTACGTCCGAAGATTTAACAGCAGTTGCCGTGATGCCGGAGATTATACCACCCGGAGGGATTTCCTCTGAGCGACAACAGTACCTCCAACGTATGGTCAGACCATTTGTCAGGGATCCTTACAAGGAGATGACATGTCCAAATCCCGAGGAATGAAATGCACAAAAAATGGACATTGAATTTTTTGTTGTTATATGTTTGAATGAAATCTAACAAAATAACACAGACAAGTAATGTTACATATCTATGTACATGTTCTCTTTTTTTGTACGTGCTACTCTTAACTTCAAGAATTCTTATTAGTTACAAATACCAAGCTTTAAGAATTGGTTATAAATAAACGGTTCTTCATTGGTTAATTTAAAAAAAATGTCATGTATGTAGTGTAGTGTTTTACAAGGAAAATGACGTTATTTTTTGACGTTACGCAACGTTCATGACGCTAAAAGAAGAGACTCATCATTTTGATTCAGATACGTTTTTTCTAGGTATATTATTCGAAAAACAAACAAATAATGGTATCAAAATATTCAGCCGGACGTTCTCTTCAAAGAAAGTAAAAAAAAGTAAATTTTCAATTTTTTGTCACGAAGGCCCCATTTCGCTTGAGACAACTCATTATTTATTATCTTTTTTGGAAAAAAAATGTGCCTTGATATAACATCACATCTTCGACGTTTTCCATTCAATGTTTTTATTAAAAACAGCATGAGATAAAACAAAATCATGATTAATTAATTGATCGTTCTGCACTCACGGATTGTGATTCATATGGCATTGAAAATTTAACAAGCAAAAAATCTTTTTAAGGTCTTAAACTTTTGCTGAATTTAACTAGATTGGTCAAAGTTATTCTATTTATTCAGAAAATTAAAAAAAAAGTAGTGGTCTATAAAGTAAATTTTAAAATATTTCCAAAAATATTTTAATTTTTTGCTAAATTTAGATGAAATACTTTCTGGACTTAATTTACTATATTTGTGACAATAAAAAGGGATGTATAAAATTTAAATGATCTTTAAATAGAAGCATATACATTAAAAGGAAACCGGAAAAGAAGTATATCACAATGCATCGCCCTGTGTGTCATCTTACTACCAAGTTAATCATGTAAACTACATATACCTATAATGGCTTATCTATTACTATTGGGGAACCCTCTCTACTTTGTCTCAGGTAAAGAAGTCATATTTTAGATAATTTTTTTTTCTGTTTGATCCAATTACTACTTTTTCAGTTTAACGACATTGTATCATGATATTTCAAGTCTTAAACTTTTATGCCAAGTATATTTTTAGATTTTGCATAAATAGCTTACCTAAAATTGAAATTAAAAAATGGGGATCAATAAGCTTCTTTTGGCGCTACAGTGCATTTAATATGACCTTTTTAAAATGAAATTTTTGTCTTAATCAAAAATAACATATTCAAAGTTTTCCCACCAATATTTTCATTAAATTAAAGCATAAGACAAATTTAACTCTATATCTATTTTAAAAAAGATAAAATTGTGACTACGAAAAAAGTTTCAAATTGCTCGCATAATCAATTATTTGACCTTTATGCACTAATAAAATGTGATTTTTCTGGCATTGAAAAGTTAATAAGCAATATTTTTTGTTCAAAGTCCTAAACTTTTTCTGAATTTAAGCAAATAGTTCAACGTTATATTAAATATTTAGATAAGAACATTAAAATGGTTGTAAATTTCCAGATATTACTAAAAAGTGTCGATTTACGTTAAAATTCTTTTCTCGTATTTTCAGAATATATTAATTATATTTGTCACACTTCGTTGAATGAATTCAGAAGAAATAATTTAATAGATATTTCAGAACCATCATTACACACTTCACTGCAAAAAACAGCTTTGTGTCCAGCCAGCATTTAAAAATAAGAATCTGAAATTAACAATACTTTTACAAAAGAGAAAAAAAAGCATCAATTTCTTCTAAAACACAAAAAGTGCCTCATTTAATTCTACTTGAATGGAATTTAATCGCATTACATGTTTATTTTCCGATTTTTCAGGCAGCACAAGTGCACCTCCAGAAATTTCGACAATTGTCCCGTCGAAGTTCCCAGTAACAATATCAGAGAGAACTACACCTTCTCCAGATCATAGCAGTACAGTTACAGCAGGTAGTGCAGACATGTTTCAGAAATATTCTTCCTATAAGAGACATTTTATATATGTTGAAAATGACTTTGTGTCCAACCAGCATTTGAAAATAGGAATCTGAAATTAACAATACTTTTATAGTTCAAAAGGGAAAAAAAACATAATTTTCTTCTAAAAACACAAAAAAGTGCCTTGTTTAATTTTACTTGAATAGAATTTAATCGCATTACATGTTTATCTTCCGATTTTTTTAGACAGCACAAGTGAACCTCCAGAAATTTCAACAATTGTCCCCTCGGAGTTCCCAGTAACAATATCAGAGAGAACTACACCTTCTCCAGATCATAGCAGTACAGTAACAGCAGGTAGTGCAGATATGTTTCAGAAATATTCTTCCTATTAGAGACATTTTATATACGTTGAAAATGACTTAAACTCAAACAAATTCATTATTAATGGACATAACATTACTTATTAGAATTGTCACTGACTGTGTACAAAAAGCAGTAAGTAAGGAAACTAATTCGAGATATCAAGGGTAGAATATATATGGAATAAACATTCAGGACTTCCAAATTACCCCAAAATAGTTATAATATTTGATGTATCCTTCCTTGATACTTTCCGAAGTTCACCAGTGTATTTTTTTTCTCAAAGCTTAAAGTGTGAGGAAAATAAACATTTCATCATGAACAAGATTTGTGCGTTGTACTTAGCATATTTCTATTTTGTTGAATGAAAAAACATCATCGATATGGATTTGATTCTTTTCAATTTAGTTTTTAAAACTATTATCACTTATAGTTTATCAAGAGAAATTTTAAGTGTATAACTTCATTGTTAATCAATGAGACTTACTTATCTTAAAGTTTTAATGTGATGAAATAATCATTTCTTCCCTTTGTTGTGTACACATGCTTCAAGATAGACGAATAGCTTTAACAATGATTTGATTCATGAAAACAATATTGAACTTACAAAAAGATAGGAGAATGTTTTAGCTAATGCCTTATTCCTGAGTCACATTTCCCGACCGGTGACCGTAGACCGGTGGTAATCGGTGGTAATCCGCGATGTAAATGATACCCCTACATCGGTCCACATTGGCCTTAGTCCATAAAATATCAGTCACATTATCCAGTGATGTGGTATACGATGGGCAACCAATGAGTATTTTGATAACAATACAAAAGCCTAGCGATGCATTCCTATTCATGAAACGATGTTCCAAGGTAATCGGCTTACGTTTAATTCATGGCTCATACCTTTTTAAACATCGTTCGTACGTCGGTCTACTATGGTCCAGTGATTTGTTGAACATCGTTCAATGACCAGCTGATGTCTGTTTCCCATCACTTAACCCCCTATGACCTCAGATTCAACGGACACTTGACGATGCTCGTCCATACATCGGCTAATCCATAAAAATGTGTTAATGACTGGGTTGCCGATGATTTTTAACTACAACTTATCTCTAAAAATCGCACCCACCGATTCGCTAAAGTATCCGTCACATTATCAAGCGATAGGGTATACGATGAGAAACCGATGCGTTTTTTTTTTATGAAAATGGCATGATTGCCGTCCGGGGACCACTAGTGATCGGACGGTGACTGAGGCCATTTTGCGAATCGGTGGGGTCATCGGCAGGAAATAATTCGTAGTTGAAATTCAGCGATGTCTCCAACGATGCCTCATATCGGCCCTCATCGGTAACCCATCAATAACACATCTTTCAAGGATCGGCCGATGTATGGCTGAGCATCGTCCAATATCCGTTGAATCAGAGGTCATCGGGGGGTTGAGTGGTGTTCAACAGATAACTGCCGATCACCGGTCAATTTTCGACCAAACATTGGCCCGTAGTCGACCGATGTACGAACGGTGTTCACCAATGTATGAGCGATGAACTATACATCGACCGATTATCCGGGAACATCGTATTTCGATTAGCAATGCATCGCTGGGCCTTTGTAAGTCCGACCGGCAACCACGCCATTTTTATCATAAAACGCATTGTTTGTCCATCGTATACCCATCGCTGAATAATGTGACTGATACCTTAAGGACTACTAGGCCGATGTGGACCGATGTTGGGGCATCGCTAACACCACGGATTACCAACGATTACCACCGGTCCAAGGCTACGGGCCGGGAAATGTGACCTAGGCATAAATAGCCTCAGTCATCGTCCGATGACTGTAGGTATGCGACCGGTAGCTACGCCATCATTATCAAAAGACACATTAGTTTCTCATCATATGCTCCATTGCTGAAAAATGTGACTGATAGATAAATTGTGAAATTGATTTTGGATTTTCTTATTTCTAATTTTTGGAATGATAAGGAAGTTGCAGTTTTTGTCCGGGTGTCTCTTTAGACTAAATCCCCAGTCACAAGTAAACAATGACCGACGGCCGACTGTTTTTCAAGCAAAAATGGGATTCTTCGGGTGAAAGTCAGCGGTTCATCGGCCGTTGTCTTGCCTGATTTTGACCTTTTTTTGTCGGCCGATCAATTCTGTGTCCATCGGTCCAAGTTATAATTTTTTTAGCGTTGGTGGCTGATTTCCTCAATTGTAGTTATCCTTCGACCCAAAATTCTCGGTGGGTCAACGTTCGACCCTCGTTGGTCAGTTTATGAAGTCAGCCGTCCGTCGTTGGACTATAAGGCCGGGTGTCCAAAATTTCGGGCGACGGTTAAAATAAAACCGCAGTTCAGAGCTCGATGATCGGGCGACGATTGAATATTTTTAATCTATTAAGGATACATAAACAAATAAAATTTTAATGGATGGATTGATATGTATTCTTTGAACGGAAATAACATGAATTATTAATCTGTAATATATAAAGAAATCTTAAGTATTCTTTGCTGCTTAAATATGCGCGACTGGTCGTTTTTATGCAATATTTTACAAAATTGTGCACACATTTTAAACATTTAGTCACAATCTTTAAAAATTCTTTTCAAAATTTTTGCCTTGCAAACATTAATCAGGTCACCTCTCTGAACATATATCCATGAAAAATATTGCTGATTTTTAAAGAAAAAAAAAAGATTTTTTGTGTTATTTATCCAAGTCATTGATGTTCCTTGGAATTGATGTGACTGCTCCGTGTCGTCCGATACTCGTGTCGGCCGATCATGTTCTTTCAGCCGACAAGACCAGAAAAATTGAGTTGCCCGACCATCAGCTTAAATGTGACCTATGCATAAGACGCCTACCGTAAGTAGGGACTCTTCACTTGCCAAACGTGTGGCAATAGATAGTCTTTCGAGAGAGACATAAAAACTGAGTTTCCGTGTCACATCAGGCGACGGCAAAATGAAGAATCCCACTGTTCAATGGCTCTAAGAATAGTATAAATGTCTGTATTTAAAGCTCTTCACCGATATATGGTGTAATCTATTTCTCTCAAGTGCCGTTGAACAGGAATCAGTCAAGCTATCAATCTATAGTTTTTTTCGGTGTACTTGCCGATCTTCTTTAGTACAAAATTTAAATTGAGACAAATTGGCTAGCAGTACAAATGTTTGTTCACGCATATACAATTGAGGTAGTTCAATTTGGTAATAAAATTCATTTATTTATTCAGTGTTAGGCTTATTTAAACCTCCCATCATTTAAAATAAATTATTAGGGCAATGACATATCAAACTGCATAATTTTATAATAATGAGTCTATACGTTAATGATATACTTGATCCAAGATTTTGAATTATTAAGGGAAATCCACACCGGAAGACTGTAGATTGCCGGGCTTCTTATACAGAGGAAAACAACGTGTAACAAAGTCAGGGATACTGTGTCAAAGATGGGATGTGCAGAGCCCACATGAACATAATTATTTCATATTTAGTCTTGCACAAGAGAACTACTGTAGAAACTTTGACAGAGAAGAACCATGGTGTTTCACTACTAATTCTAGCGTTCGCTGGGAACTTTGTGGTGTGGACATTTGCTGTGAGTGCTTGTTAACTATATGTTAGTGTATTGATATTAATGTTTTCATATCATTTATTTGTATGCATATTTGGTTCATTATCGTTATTTTTTTTCTTCCTTTTAGCTTCACCATGTCTAAACAGATCTGTTGACACTCAAAAAATAGCATCTCAGTGCTTTGCTACTGAACCAACTGGTATTGAATTTTGCAGGTAAGATTGTACTTTTTCTGTATTAAAAGAACTTATCCATGAATCAAGACAAATATTCTAAAAAATGCATCCATAAATATACACTACTTTATGAAAGTATGGATGATCGTTTATTATTTATTTTAATTTAAAAGCTAGTCATCAAATTAAAGTAATTAATTGCCAGCTCTGTAAGAAATACTATTGTATGTTATCTTATTTTTTTTTATATATATTACAATCTAAGCTTAATAAGCATGCAGTGTTAATCAATTTTAATTCTTCAAGAAGAATATAAAGATAGAAATCTCAGTTAACTGACTTCATTTAATGTTCTATATCAAAATATATTAAGCCTTTTAAATAAGCATGCAGTGTTAATCAATTTTTAATTCTTCAAGAAGAATATAAAGATAGAAATCTCAGTAAACTGACTTCATTTAATGTTTTATATCAAAATATATGAAGCCTTTTAAATCATCATGGACACAATATTTACGGCAAGTTAACTTTGTAGTTTATAATAGTCGTTTATTCCATATTATAATTATATTATTAATAACTTTACGAAAACCATGGTATTGTATTGATAGTTTAAAATGCAAAAGAAACTCTACCTTCATTTCGATTGTTCATTTTAGCACTAATTTATTTGAGGTTATTGACGTTTAATATTTGTTTTCAATTGCTATCAATGTTTTTTTTTTTAAGTAAATAAGATTTTATTATACATTTTTTTATCAAAAATTTCAATTGTCATTTTTTATAGAAGGTCCATTGTGATGTGTTGGGTGAACAGTTAAAAACTTAAATCACTGTCTAAACAAATTTGCCTTTAGGTATAAAACAATGCAAAATCCATTAGAACAATGTCAAAACTGTAGCTAGTGTCTTAGGTGTTCATTTAAGCAATTCGCCCGTGACACATGTAGGCAATTCTAAACAGAATCACAGAAAAAGAATTTTACAGTCTTTTAGTACCATTTTTGTTTCCGCTAAAATATTTTAGCAATACGGTGCTTCGAGACGTTCATTAACCTTGTCTTTCACTGATCATTCATTCTCTGTTATAAACTTGAATTAAAATTTTTGCCGAATGATATTTTAATTATCGATCCAATTTAAATAAAGTAAGCATAAACAAATAAGTAGTTAAATAGAAGAGTCTTGTTGATTCCCCGATAATTCATTGATTCATGCACCAAAAAAGTGTAACGTATATATTAACAAAATTGATCCTTTTATAAAAACAAGCAAAAAAAAATACACAATTGACGAAGATTGTTTAATATATATGACTTAAATGATAAAATGATTTATAGTATGGGTAAAACAAGATATCATTGAATGTTAAGAGAAAAATAAGTATGTATCTTATTCAATATGTAGAAGTGTTATTGTAGTACAGACTTGGTATAATGTAGGTAACAAAATTGAAAAGAAACAATATTAATAAAACAAACAGTAATCAATCATAGAAAAAATAATTAACCAGAAACAATACAAACCTATGTTAGGGTATAGAACACAGCCCCGAGAATAATATACATGATCTGCTGAAAACTGGAAAACACACATTGCTGCTTTAAATTACAGGTGAAACGCTTTGACTTGTACTTCTATGAAAACCCTTTTATTGGAAAGAAAGACAAACTGGAGATTTTAATCAAAGAACCATTGATATTTAAGGGGGCCAAATGTAGTTTCCATTGAGCAATATTTCGCGCATCATAGTAAAATGAAACGTATTTATTGTTTTAATGCAACTTTTTTCGCTTAGTTAATAAAATGAAACAAATAAAGAAATTAAAGGTTTGAAAATGTAATTAGAATTTGATATTATTGATTTTTTAATCGATTTTGCAATTGATAGATAGGTTGACGTCGCTACAGTGTGTTTTGACATTATTATCATCTGAAGCTCTTAAAGGAAGGGGTGATAAAATATTATTTAAAAAAGTGATAAACATACGCTCTTGAAATTTAAAACAAAAAAATTTGAAAATATCTCCATTATTTTTATTATGTTTTCATGTGAATCCATTGTGTATGTCATATTTTGTAGTACTCTATAAAAACAGTGAAATTTGTTAATTTTTTGCATTTTGAAATGCTCCCTCTGGTAACAAGACCGTAGAATTTTGTGTTTCTTACATAAATTGTATAAAGTAGTATTACTCATCAAATATTATAGTTTGAACTAATTATCTATTGTAGTATTTGTAATACGCATTTTTCTATATAATCCTATAGCAAATGTACCTGTATTTTGAGACGGTCCCTCAAAATACCTGGACAGTAGATTTCCCCCAAACTTTAAAGGTACACTGAAGTTAATGTAAGTTATATATGGTATAAAAATGAAGAGTTTTGCTATTGCAGTTTTCACACAATAAAACCACAGTCGGCCCCCTTAAAAACAATTGCCTACTGACGTTTTTCATACCAATTGTTAGTCCATTTTTATACACTGAATTGATGACGGATTTTCCCGTTATTTCATGGTCATGACAATGAGCACACGGCGGGTGTGACCGGTCAGCAGGGGATGCTTACTGATCCACCTGATCCCACCTCTGATGTTTTGGAGGTCTGTGTCTGCTCTGCTCCTATTTTGTATTGTTTTATGGACTTTGATTTTGAATACTGTTCGTTATCTCCATATGCTTCTCATCAAGCTTTATCTATTCCGTTTAGTCGCTTGTGGAGAATTGTTGGATGTTTGAAGAACAGAATTGAAATTTCTACGGATATTCAATGTTCTGGGATTGAATTAAGATCCATTGCTTTGCAAAGACAGGATATGTTAGAAAGGTTAATGGGAAGGTCAATCTCCCAGTGTAAGTAACTCTTTTTCTACTGCATTGACGAGGTCATGTATATGAAACTATATAATTATACTGAAATATGCAAAGATTTATTTTTTAATACTTGTGCGATTTAAACATTCGGGAACATCATTTCCCTTCGATAATTTCCAAAGACCAGACGTCTTTACAGATAAATGCCCTAACCACACTGAACAACAATATTTACAGTTCACACAACTTCTTTCCACTGTGCCATTCGATTATGCAAAATAAATGATTTGCAATACATGACAAAGATTATGGAAAGCTATATGGTTCAAAATTCCATCTCTGTAATTCTAAAAATTTACACATTAAAACTTTAATTTGTAATCTTTCATCATTTGCCATTTGTTCTTTCTCAATTTCTTAATTGTTAATTTTCCAACATAACTTGAAAAGTGGAAAAATGTTAGTAAGAATTATGCCAATAATCACGTTTAATTCGTAGACTTGCAATTTGTCAACTTGTGAAATGTACTTTCGTGATTTGTAAATTATGCAAGGTTGCATATTTAGAAGAAATAGGGCGCTATAAGGATGGCGGGTTATTTCACCTCAAAGCTAAAAGATCCTTAAGCAACTAAGTTTTGTAATATGCATGCATAGTATTCCTTCAAACGGTCTCTTAAGCTCTTTACAAATAAGAACAGGGTATCCCTGAATTTAACCACAAAACTTCGCTCTTTGTATGTACAGAAAACGGTGCGGATCTCGTAATATTTTCAAAGAGGGCGGGGTCCAACCGGTCAAAATACCCAAACAAAAAAGTATTCCGACTCTGGGGCAGACGCTCTAACTACTACACCACTGCGCCATGTTGCAGGCGACGACCTCTTTTGAAAAAAAAGATAGAAAATATACTTACTTATAACACATGATCATATTAACGATTTTTTTAATCTAAAATTTCCGTTTATACAGTGTATAAACTAATATGTACTTTACCAATTAGACATGAAATGGGTCTTGTAATACATTTTCAAGTTCCAGGATATTTTTCTAATGGAGGGGTAGGGGGCGTGTCAACTAAAAATCATCCTAACACAAAATATTAGTACCTTTTTTCATGTGTGTGTAGGGGGTGTCAATGGACATTTCTCGTTGATTCACTGTTTCAAATATGTATATATAGCACTTCTACTTATTTATGAGAGGTCTATAACTCCTGAAAGGGGGTCCAAGGTTATTTTACTGTAGAAAACTCATAACTGAAAATCCGAGGAGGTCCAGACCTCTCCAACCCTAAGTCCCTCCTTCCGAATCTGCTGGTAAACATGTAACACTTCAGAAAAGGCTTTTAAAAATATCCAAATTGAAAATTATTCAGGGTCATTGGGAGTTTTTACTAGAGTATACCCCTGCTTATATATTATTATTTACAAACAGTCTTACGGGCAGACATTTAATTTTAAACATTTCATCAGCCCTTTTTTAATTTCATGGTGAGACGAGTTGGGGTAAAGATTTAATTGTTAAGTAACGAATAACTTGTCACCCACAAAGGGTCCCTTTCGTATAAATAGGGATTAACCTAATGCAACCTTGCTTAATTTAAAAATCACGGAAGTACAATTTACATTTCACAACTTGACAAATCGGAAGTGTACGAATTACATGAGAACATCGGCAAAACTTGCAGTTACATTTAGCACTTGTCAAATTAATTTTGTAATAGAACATTTGAAAAATTATCAAATTATGATTTACAATTTACAAATTCAGGTTTACATGTGCACATTTAAAGACGTACAGAATTATGCAAAAGTACCCTCGATATTAATCACTGAAAATGATTTTTAAGTCAGTTGGAAAACATCACTGTTTTGTTTACATCCAGATGGATTTCTGATAACTCATGATCTAGCCTTTGAGATAGAAAAAAAGAATTGACCTACGTACAATTAGTATGAAAAACTTAAGTCAGCATTGACCTCTCTTATAAATTGTAGATTTTGACAAGGTCATTATTGTATATGCTGACAGTGTCATTAAATCGTCCATAAGACTAACGAAATTATGACTTTAAAGCAGGCTTTTGATATTTTATGTCTTCACATTGTTTGCCAATAATTTACCTCGTTTTAGAAATATTAAATACGTAATGTATGCTCTTGCATATCGAATCAATTGAGATATATAAACTCCGTATTATATTTTAATATATTAGTAGTATTAATATATCAATATATAAGTAGTATTAATATGTTCCTGACAGAACCATCTATGTAAATTTGGTTGTACGTAGGCACATAACTTACAAAGTAAAATCAAAACGACCATGTAATTCAATACTTGGAATTGAACTATTTTAAATCTTGAAAAAGCGTTAACATAGATAATGACCATACCTGCAGTATGTCTTACAAAATTATAACGAATTAACAGAAGAATATTCTAATTTTTGTTACATTTATAGGTATTAAAGCTCCGTGCGCAGATTCACGTTTGGTATCTTTTGAAAGAGTAGTTGTCTTGGCATTTTTTTGCATAGTAAAACACCCCATGGAGGAGACAACTTCAGAGACATTGTGCCGGTAACTATTTGCACGTTTGTCGTCTAACGATTGTTTCTTTATTTCTCTGAACAGGAAAACAAATTTTTATGTACAAAAATACACTCAAAAATGGAATTGATTTCTGAAACTAGGAAACGTACGTAATACGGAAATCATTGCAGTATAATTTCTTTCGAGTTAAAGATTTGTTTTCCCGATTAACATACATTACAACAAATGAAAATGATACATCGTACATTTCTTATCTCATTTACACTTCATTGTTAATAATTCGAAAGAGGTGATAACCTACGTGTGAAACTACATGTATATAAATGTATGTACCCGATTTTTCAGCCAAAGAGCAACGTGTATCAAACCATTGGTCTCTTAAAATGAATAATTATCTTAATTTTACTTTATATATATATTTTTTAATTTTCCCGGTTATTCTTTACTTGTTACCTTTATTGGTAATTTTCAATTTGATCAAGCCCCGTGGGGATCCGGGTTAGAATAGGTCCTCAGTCCCCCCTTGCTTGTCGTAAAAGGCGACTAAATGGGGCGGTCCTTCGGATGAGACCGTATAAACCGAGGCCCCGTGTCACAGCAGGTGTGGCACGATAAAGATCCCTCCCTGCTCATAGGCCGTAAGTGCTGAGCATAGGCCTAAATTTGCAGCCCTTCAGCGGCAATGGTGACGTCTCCATATCAGTGAAATATTCTGGAGAGGGACGTAAAACAGTATACAATCAATCAAATCAATCAATCAATTTGATCGAATTACCATTAATTTAAATATATGACATCATTACGTTCACGTTTTCCTGCCATGTAAGCATGTTTTGAAAACTGCTAATTTTCAAGCAATTGTTCTTCCAGATGCCATGTTAAAGCCTATTTTTGTCTTGTTATAGTTGGATTGCAAAAATAACACTATTCGTGACATCATTTTAAACCCAGGACCGTGAGTGCATAAAAATGTTGAGAAAAATGTATTGGAAATATTTTCATTGAATCTGTTCTACAAATAAAAGTCAATGTCATATGTTCCCCAAACACTAATAGTTTATTAAATAACCAGGAGCAGAGAAGAACATTTTCAAAGATTCAATGTATTTTCACTATATAATCTATATAGCCGCAGAATTCCTGATTCCGGGGCCATAAAACTTAGAAGGGAAGACCCTAATTAGAAGAAAGTGAAAAAGAAACAATAGAATAATAGAAGGGTCTTCCGTTGGAGACGGAATACCCTTATAATAGTTTTGATTTAATTAAAAAAGTATGCAATGCCTTTATTTTTCCTTTTAGTAAAAATAAATCAATAATAACATTTCAGCTTACAGCAATTAAGTCTATTTGTTTATAATGAAAAATCAATCATTATATTTTTTATTTTCAGTAATTTTCAACGTGTAGGAAATTGTATTACTTCAAAAATAAATGTCGTGACAAATGTCACTTGTCCGACAAAAGATAAAGCGTCAATGGCAAGGATGGTTGTAGACCTATTTCAAAATGGAGCATTGCAATCTCCTGTCAATTTAAGTCATTGTAAGATTACTTTTATTTCTATTTTTGTACATTCTAATGTTTTCGTGCAGAAGAATAAGTTGTATACTCACAGCTATGAAAATTCTTTTTTTTAACAATTATAGATTATAAGTAATGAGGATATTTTCCGAATTCATCATCAGTTTCAAAATTCGGTTCTTATCTTTACATTTTACATGAGAATGAAAATGCTTTTGTTTACCTTCGCTTTTCTAGAAAACAGACTGATAAATTTCTAATTATTTATTTATCTAAGTCTTTTTGAATTGTTGTTGAAAAAAAAATCAACTTAATTTCCTAAAACTGATATTAGGGGAAAACAATTGAGACATATATCTTCATAGTAAAAGAACACTCTTTACTGTTCCTTTTAAATGCAACTTTTATCTGTTCATAAATTCTGCACAATTCAAACATCCAACAACAGTTTTGTCCAATACAAATATGTTTTTTTTTTATCACAATTTGAATCAATAAATGTCTCTTAAAAAACGTTTTTCACACATATCGTATCCGTGGTATATTATCTAAGTAACTGCTTTTTAAATGAAAACGTTTTTTAAACAAATTATTTTGTTATTTCAAATGTGATCTAAACTACTGTTTAAAAAATTATGCTAATTTCAATTGGTGTTTTTTAGGTATGTCAAATATATCTGAGTTTCCAATGTCGACAGCAGGTATTAATTGCACGTTATAGATTTTGCAATGACAATAGTATACTGAAAGGAAAAAGAAACGCAGGGTAAAAATTTGAGGTGAATTAAATTTATTTTCCTATAATAGGTTTTAACATTCCTATCTAATTCTTAAGATCTTTCAAAAAAATATAACCAAAATAACATTTGATTTTGTCCAATAATTCATGAGTTACGGAAGCTCATATGATCATACCCCCAAAAAATTGAAAACTGAAAACTCTCATTATCTTCAATGTCTCCATCATGCATCTGTCAGAGCCGTTTTCTTCATTTGCATGGAATTTCATCAGAGTGTTTATCTTTCAAACCCTGGCTATATTGGGCATGGGTAACCACGCAGAAAAATAGGTCAAACGACACGCGCATGCGCCAGTGAAAGGAATACAACAGTAAGTTGACCGGCTCAAAAAACCAAATTGCTGAATTGTTTTCTTTCAATTTTCGTGTGAATATAATGATCATAATAGTCTACTGTATAAATCGCAGCTTTTGTGGTAGTACGGTTGAGATTTAAGAGATGACAGGAGGAATAACCCGCTCGTAATATGGTTCTGTTTCGCGTTAACGTCATCGTCACGGTTGATTGAAACCCTTTCTGATAACGGGTTACAAGTTTTATGGAGGAAAATTTACAAGATACTGCTTCGTCAACCGTTGTTGCCTTTTTCATTAATTAGGCATTTCGATAACAAGACCCCATTGAACTTCTGTTAACTGTACCAAGATTGGAAGATATTCATGTTGTCTATAAACATTGAAAAGCGATGTGCATACCCCAGGTGCATCAAACAATGCAACAATATTTTTCGACAAACTCGTCGTCATCATATTGCACGTGTTTTTGGCTCTTTAACGCTCTTCCTATGTGACATCATACATTTTACGGTTGAGTAATTCTGAACACTGATTTTGGTGCATAGTAACTAAATATCTCTTCTGACAAATTTTCGTAATTTTCGGTCATACGGTAAAATTTTTATCGAATATGATGCTACCCTCCGTTTCTTTTTCCTTTCAGTATATTATGAGAAAATCTCTTTGGGTTGAATATTGATTCATATTTAGTAAATAAGTCTTGACAGCTTTTTATTGATGCTTATGACGTCAGAATTATTTTTCTAAACATACACTGTTTTGTAAACGGGATCATTTCAGAGGCTGGGTTTTGCAATATTGTACTGAAAGAAAATAGTTTTAAAGCGGATAAATTGAACAACGTAATTTTTTTATGTTCATTTAAACTAAGATATGCTCAGATTTAAAACAAGAGAAGACATCCAAGAATTTTACAGCGGGTTAAAAATTTTAATAATGCAGTGTGATATAAGACATGAACCTTGTGACGTTTTTCCGTTGAGGTTCCATACAGCTAAAGCATGCAGTAACTCGAATTCATATTCCATTATATTTACATTTCAAATGTCTTTGTAGGAGATAAAATTCAAAATTCTAAAAAATGCTTTATTTCTACATACATCTAGTAGCTCATCGATAAAAAAAAAATCATTTGCGGGACAGGAATAATGGGAAGGAGTAGGGTCTGTAGCACGTGCAATTTGCAAATGGCATGCAAATGTATAAAAAAAAACTGTCCAAATTTTAGTTTTCAAAACGATGATCAATTGATTGGCTTGCGTGATAATTTAACTTATTATATACTTAATGTGTATCAACCAATTTTCCTGTTTAATTTGCAAAATCGCATGACTTCGTGATCCGATTTTCCGGATCACCACACTGTGGTTTTCTGAATCCATATCACCACTCTCTGAAACTAATGACATAGTATGACGTAACATGACGTTATTTTTCTTGTGCGTAAAAAAGTCCCCCTTTAGTATTCTTTGTTTTATTGACAAATATTATACAATTGATCAGTAAAGTTTTTTTTACTATATTTTGCTAGTTATAAGGAGGTATATAGTAAAATTATCATTAAAAACAGTAACTTGATCAGAAGGGCCGTATCACGTCTTGTTAACATTCGCGGATCATCAAATCAAACTCGACGCTTCTGATGATCTGATGATCCGCGCCTGTCAACTCGACGTGATACGACCCTTTGGATCAAGTAACTATTATAATGATATATATGCCTAAACGCCTTAGGTGTTTGTGCAAATTATCAAAAAAGCCACTCGATTGATCACACTATGAAACCAAAATAAAAGAAAGTAGAGGTTATTCCTCAATTAAACGACATCATATCATGGAACATTTGTAGTTCAGAAAAGTTGTGACTTAGAATGTGATATTCAAGGTAAGCCGTAATCTATCAGCGTGACGGGTGTTCCTTGTCATGATTGGATAAACTAATAGTTTACCATTATGTCTGAAAGACGCCAGTCGTCATTCGACTTAACGACTGATTTTATTTGCCAACATATTCATTGTACCAACCAAAGTATTTACTAAATGTGTTCTTTAAACGATTAAGATTATATTGTTGTACCAACTTGTTACTTGTTTGTCAGTAGATAAACTCGTAAAAAGAAATTGTAGTACGTGCTGTTGCAGATCAAATAAACTAAGACTTGAGGTACGATCAATTTTAAACTGGGACGGACAAACTGACAGATTGTGTGATATAATTGGAACTTCAACAAACTTGTTAAAAGTCAGCATTTCATAAATTCCATGGTCGTTACCATGGCCCTCTAAGGAAATACAACTTATTATTGAGCAGTATTTTTACTAACTTATGTCTTAAATTAATTGCTTAACCTTTGTTTTACACTGAATTCGACTACGAAATGTTCCGTCTACTTGATAAGTACATAGGACT